TAGTACAGCACGGATCAATAAGTGTTTCTTGTCCTTATGCAAGCACAGAGTCCTGTTCTATTTCTCCCAAAGGACATGGATTTGCACAGAACTTACATGGAAACAAGCAGAGACCTGGCAGGCTTGGGCACAGTGTTCTGACTAGAGGCCCTTAAAGATTTTTATACTGTAGTATGCATTTTTTATTATTTCTTAAAATAACTTGGGTGAAAATGGTTATTAACATAGGTATTGGGTGATAGTTGCATTATTTATTATTTTTTAAACTATTCAAGTGAAAATTTGAATTGGTTATAATATGTGCATTAGGTGGTCCTTTATTATGACTATGTTTTAATCTGTAACTGGATGAAAAACAAAACTGAGCTGGAAAATACAGTTCACAGTTCAGTTCAGAATGTGAATGTGCTATATTGACTTGCCAGGCCTGCACTTTCAATGGACATGATGTACAGAAGCTCTTTATTATGTCTGTTCTGATTGTTCATCAGAACTTCTACTGGCAGTTTTGCTGTCAAGTTCATCGACGTTTGGGGGTTAAAATTCCTTAAGGTGTGATTGCTGGTTTGGAAAGGGAAAGCCAGCTGCCTATTTCTGTCACTTCTAGGTTTGTCGAGTAGCCTCAATGAGGGGCAATTTTGTCTCTTGGCTGTGCTAGGACTTAGAAGAAAAAGCCCTTGCCTCAGTTTAAAGAAAACCTGAAAATTACTTATATTTTGGGGTGAGGGAGAGGGTTAGGTGTTCTCTTCCAGTCACTGAAAGAAAGAGCCTTTAAAAGAAATGCATGGCCTGATGATGTATATCTTAAGTTTGAATTAACTTCTCATGTATGTGCTCAGTTGACGTTTGAACCAGTTTGAGGAAGGCTCAAAGCAGCTCATCCTGTAAGAAGCTCCCTTCCCCGATTTTTTTCCCTGTAGGTTAGATCTCCAAAATGGTAATTTCCTTTGTGTTAAAAGAAAACCTGAAAATTCTTTAAAGTGGGCAAAAGGAGGTGGCTGTGTTGCAAGGCAGGAGCCGTGAATTGCTGCCCCATCAGGGAATGCTGATTTTAATGAGGGCGGCTCTAATGACTCATCCTGACTCAGTGCCTTTTCATACAGAGAGTAATTAGATCGCCGGGGCAGAATGTGCTGGAGGTCAAAAGTGTAAGTGGATTTAAGGGAAAGAAGGGGGTGAGTTCATGGGGGATGAACTTGGCTGTCTCTGAGGGTTTTTTTGTGGGTTCATCGAGGCTGCTGTGGGGGATGTTATGGCTAATATGGCCCTAGAGAGTGGGAAGGTAGGAAGGTGACTGAAGGCTGCTGAAATTGTGGGCAGCCAAAATTGTTCTGTGGCATCAGTGTGTGCTTTGCCAGTGTCAGGTTCTGTGAGCATTGCTCCCGGATTCTTTGGTCAACATTAGGAGTGTACATGCAAGAATTAAGTGACATTCATAGCCACAGTCACAGTGCTGCTGAAGTATTCAGTCCCTTTCAGAGATGTGCCAAGAGCACAGCCTGCTCTTTATCTGCTGTGGGTATCACAGCTACACCTTGTATACTGCACAAAAGAACAGGCAAAATACAAGAAAATACTGAGGCTTTGTGCCATGCCCTGGCTATTTGTACCAGGACGTTCAGATGTGTCTTAGAACCCAAGGCTGGCAATGCCACTCACTTGGGATCAGTTTCACTTGATTCTCTGTTTAGAAATTCTGTTTAAAAAGCTGTCACAGAAATAATTACAGTAAGTTTGGGGAACCTGGGAAGAAGGGACTCATCGAGATCACAAACCCAGGGAGCTCTAAGAGGATGCAGTGTAAGTTCCCTGTTTTCCATTGCCTAGTTTTTACCCAGCTCCCTACATTTGTAGTGATCCCCTTGAATGGAGGCTGTGTTATGCCAGGAATGACACAGATGTTTGCAGGAAGAACCCTCATCCTGACAAGTCTGTAGTTGATTTTCTGCATTCCATGCACAGTAGTGATGTCCAGCACCCCTCTGGGCAAGCAGGTTGGAAAGGGGCTGCAGGTCAGAGGGTAGGTAAGCAATTCCTCTTGCTAGCACTACCATGTAAAGCATAGATAAAATCTGGGGTAGGAAAGAATCTTTGAGCTGATGTCAAAACACAGCAAGCCGAGATGAAACTCTGGGTCTTCCTGAAGTTGGCACTGAGCAGTTTTTGACCCTTAGGAATTCATTACCTTCTTGCTAATTTAACATTCCAAAAGAAACTCCAAGGACAACATCAGGTTCCTCAGCTCTGGCCAGGCATCATCCAGCTCTCGTCTGAATATGGTGGTTCTGTTGATGTAGACTATTTTATTTTGTATTCCAGTTATTTTTGTTAATGTAATCCTGTTTAATACGATGAACAAATCCCATGCTTTCAGCCTGATGGCAGGATCTTGTCTTGCCTGTCAAGATTGTAAATTTGCCTTTGTCCATGTTATGTTCCCCTGAGCCAGTGGGATTACCTTCAAAGGGAAAAGGATTGCAGAGGCTCGGCTATGAAACCACCATAGCACAGAGCATGTTGCTTTGCTGTTGCACAGCAAAATGCAAAAATCTGTAGGTGACATAGTCAAGTTCTTTTTTAAAATCATTATTCCCCTACATAAAGTTCTAAGTATTTAGCATTATTTTTTATTATGCATAGGGATTTTTTTCAATGTTATTTTAAGAATTCCATTACAGGGGAATCTTTATACCTCCTCTATGGTTCTATAATGAAGTGTAATTGTTACTTTGTGAATACATGGGGCCTGTGAAGCCTCCCAGAATTTCTCATAAAGCACAGAGGAACAGTGAGACTGGGAGACAGTTCTCAGCTAGAACAGACTTGTCTCCAACAGCTGAAATCAAGTGCCTGGCCAAGGAGAGGTAGTCACAGGTAGGACATTCTGATGCCAGGATGATCTAGGATTATTTTCCATCCCTTTCAGGGATCAATTTGAAGCAGAGTAGACTGCTCCCTGGATTTTCCTCTTTAAGAACACAAGTGACATTTGCTGTTTATCCTGTTTCACCGCCCATTCCACACCAGTTTCCCGACACTTGGCATTTCTGGGTTCATCCTATCAGGCCCTGTCTAAGCAATCTATGTCCAGTTTATTTAGACTCAAAACTCTGCTCTGGCATTGCCAAAGGCCAAACCAATAAAGGCTAAAATGAAGAAAGCAGGAAGCACTTGGAACTTCTTGACACCAGGTCCCTTGTTGCATTCAGCTTTGGCTTTCTGAACCCCATCCCTGCCTGCTCAAGCAGTGCCTGGATATTCTACCTGAACCTGTTTCTGACTCAAGTGTTCTTTGTCTTTCTTTTCTTTTTACATCTTTGTTTATCTTTCTGCCACCTTTGCTGGCCTCCAGCTCATCAGCATGAACCATGCTTGAGCTCGGAGGAAGTGGTGCTGGAACATGCTCTCCCAAGCCTGTCTTTCTACGTCTGCGTCTCGTGGGATTTTTCCAGGCTGGAATTGGCTTTCTTGCAGTCCAGGAGATGCTGCTGTTGCCTGCCATGTTGCCTCAGTATCCTGAACTCCATCTCACAGTCACTGCAGGCAAGGCTACCCTGACCTTTGTGTCCCGAGGTCTGCCATGTCTGTATGTTTGAGAGCCAGCACCAACACCTTGTTTGTGGCTTCCTGAGCACCTCTATCAGGGAGGTGTCATCAGGAAGGCACTATGAAAACCTCCAAGAATCTGCCTCTCTGGCTGGGTGAGTGCCCTGTGAAGACCAGGGCCTGTGAATATTTGGGCTTTTCAGAATGGTTTGTCCTAGAGCCCACAAAAAACTTCTTTTCTCTTTAGCTTTAGCTTTACAAAGCTGATGGGAAAGACTTCAAGATGTAACTAGTTGAAGCACGACAGTGACTGTAATATAATGACATTTGCAGCGTGCCTTAGGTCCTGCAGTAGGATTCAAGGATGAGCTTTAAATAAATCACAAAACCACTTGGAAACTTTGGTGTCATAAGTTCAGGCCCTAATAAATGATTCAGCTTCGAGGCAGGTCAGAGCCACTTCCCCTCCTTTGCCTTCTCCCTCTCCCTCCGCATGAATTAAAAAAAGGCAGAGAGTCCACTGAGAAGGACAAGCTGTGGATTTTAAGGAAAATGGAAATATTTTCTGCTTTACAGCAGAGAGCAGTGCACAGCCCCCAGTGCAGTGTGCTGGGTTTTGTGCTCGGATACGATAGCACGGCGTTACTCCATTCCTGTCTGCCCTCCTATTTATTACCAGGACAAGAGGCACATTGTGAGCAAGGCTCTTCATTTTTCTCTTTGCTCATTTCCTATTGCCGAACTGGTGTTGAGCAGGCTTGTGCTTAAACTTGACGAGACCTGAATTAAACCATATCATGAGATACTCTTCATCTGACCTATATGCCAGTTGTAGCATTTTTTTTGTTTCCACTGCTAACAGTTGTGTTAGGAAAAACCCAGAAATTAAGTCTATGCTTTAAAAAGTAAAAGGGTACATTTTCTTTACTCCTTGAGCAGTAGAAACTGACAGTGTCTTTAGAAGTTCTGGCTTCTTTCAAGTTGTGTTTATTCTTTTTATATAAATGAAAGCAAAACAAGGCTTTTGAAGCACTCTCACTTTGCTAAAGGCTGGAAATGACACATTTCCAGTGTCATTTCATTCATGAGTCCTGGGCTTTGTTCACACCTCTCCTGTGCAGGGCTTCCAAGCTGATACTATGAGATGGGGTCTATTTATGCTTTGCCGAGTTAAAATGCAGCCTGTTAACTTGTGAATGTGTGTCAGCTGCTCAGTTAAGGAGGGACAAATTGTCTGAAGCCGCTGGTGGGTAATAGTGCAGCTAAAACAAACACGGAAGCGTTTTTCTGTTCGTGGCCTCTGCCCTGGATTTTGAATCATGAGCCATTGTTCTCGGTGACTTCTAGAATGTTGGGGATTTGCGAACTTTGGCTTCTGAGGCAACGAAGGCACCAGTGACTGCTCTTTCTCAGCCATGTTTGCGAGTGCTCAGTGTGAACTTTGTTTTCTGCAGGATCTGCAGGCGTGGGTGAACGGTGCTCACGAGAATGGCTTTGTCCTCGTCTCCTTCGGTGCTGGAGTCAAGTACCTGTCTGAAGACATCGCCAATAAGTTGGCACACGCCCTGGCAAGGCTGCCCCAGAGGGTTATCTGGAGGTAAAGGCAGTGTTGGATGAACTTAGAGTGATTTGGAGCTTGCTTGTTTCCCGCTGGAGTTGAGACTGCTTTGGGTGGTAGAGGTGATGTGACACTCTGAAAAACATTGGGCATGAAAATACTGCAATACCCTGGTAACAAGGAGAAGCAGTTATTGTCGTGGCACAGTAAGGCGTGGTTACACTCCTCGGCTGAGTTTATATCCTTGGAAGGATTGGGGACAGTGAAAACAAGCAAAGATTATAACATTTAGGACATATTGTCTCTATTTTTGATGAAAGAATTACCCCAGGGTTCAAGAATGAAACCTGATGATTAAGAGCCTCCCTTTTCTTTCTTCTTCCCCCTTTCCCTCACTTTTTAAGGCCCCTTTTTCTTTTTTATGTGTAAACACGGATGTTTGTTATTCATTTTTCCACTTGCTTGTTCTCTGTGAGAAATTGAAGGAAGAGATATTTTCAGAAGTCAGAATCAGTAAGAAGTTGTCCTACTTCTGAAAACATCTTGAGTGGTGTTCACAATTCCCTGTAAAAATCAAAAAACAGTTTAGTCAGCTGTGCTTTGCATCAAGCATCACTGATATAATTTGGTGGTGTTCATGTGAACCATATTTTTTTCACATATTCAGTGTCTTACACCTCATGTAGGTGTCTCACAACCTGCCACAGTCCTGGAGCTGTATTAATAGTTTTGGTGGCCTGTTCCCCACAATATTTTAGGGGATGTCCTTGCTGCTCTGTGTAGTTCAAGGATCAAATCCCACTAATGAACAGGAAAAATGTGCATTTTTCAGCCTGTGGCACTGAATCTATGGTAGTAAAGGTGACATCAGTTTTAGTTTGGAGTAGAGCCACTGTTTCTTTATGAATCCTACAACCTGCTTGGCTTCTAATTAATAATCCAGATTTATCTTACTGCTTTTCTTCTGTCCTTTTACTATGTTTTCACTGGAATATGTCTCTTTAGGAAGCTTCCCTGTTTTGTAGTAAAGAAATCTGGAGGATTTTTCTTGAGGACAGCTTTTTTAATGCCAACCCAACAATTTCATTTAAAGCCTTCTATTAAAATTTAGGTATTTATACATCAGTCATATGTAATTTGGAGCCTTTTCTGGGATTTGGGGTTTGGTTTTGTGCCTCAGATCATGAACTTGTGTGTTCAACAGAAAAGTGGTGAGTAGTGCTTGGCAGTCTCAATGTCATGATGCTAAATCAAGGGATTTTTGTAGATTTTATGCCCTTCTAGTTAGGGAGGACAAACCAGTAAGATAATCAATTCCTTTTATATAACTTTGCATAAATAATGTAGCCTTTTTTGACTTACAAAAGTACAAGCAAATTGTAAAAGATGTAGGTCTTGCTTAATTGTAGTGCGTAGCTGGTTCTTTCTGAAGTTGCAGTTCTAGTCCTCTCTAATGAACAAAACAGACCTATCCTTTAATAGTTACTTTGGAGGAGTTGATAACTGTTTCCATTTCATGTTACTGGTTTAGGTTTTCAGGAAACAAACCAAGGAATTTAGGCAACAATACCAAGCTGATCGAATGGTTGCCACAAAATGACCTCCTTGGTGAGTATCTGTTTCCATTATTTATTGCTTATTCTCTCTTGAGTTCAGTTTGTTCTTGTAAAAGTACTCCACTGAATTAGGAGTTATTATAAAGCCAGGATAATTTCTATCATGCCAGTCATGGAGCAAGAATATTAAATTAGGATCTGAAGAGAGAATTGAAGGCCTCTCTGTTAATTGTCTTTCCCTGATTTGAATTTCATGTTTTCCCTAAGTTCAAAGACTGTTCAAGGAGTCATAAAACTGAGCATCAGAGTAAGTTTTAGGAGTCTGTAAATACTGTTTTATAAAGACAAGCTTCACCAGAACTTGGGTAGGTGATGCAAGCTGATAACCTTTCTGATGAACTGAGGTGCTTCAGGTTCTCAGAGGGAAATCAAACTCGAGGTTTTATTTTTCTTTGTCTTCCCTGTCAAAGCGTACTTAAGCCCATTGCAGATCTGAGAGGCCACAGAATATTTGACTGCTTCTGGATGTTTGTGTGTTCCCAAAGCAGCTCTGATGGGAGCTTAACTAGCATTAAGCATCAGTGTGTGTGTGAGCTGGAGAGCATAGTGAGTAGGCAGATGACTCCTAGAGCAGGTAGATTTGTTTTGGTTACAGGGCTGCTCTGAGGCAGGCTGCTTTTTCTACCATGTGAGGCTGTTGCTGTGATTGTTAGGTCTTGCTAACCTCAAATAAGGTATGTGAAGCTTTAAGGGAGAGTGTGACATCAGTTGTCCTGCCATTAAAAAAAATTATATTCCATACAAAAGTGTGCTCCTCCTTGCTCATGTGTACAGCTGAACCTGCTGGAGTCACCACCTGCAGCTCCTCAGGAGCAGGCAATGCATATTAATTACTCCATTAATCATTTTACACAACTCATACACATGAGAATTTTCTTTCTTTACTTTGGCTGTTCTCTCTCTCAGTGTATAAGGAAATGATTTAATGCATGAGGAATTTTCAGCAGAGTAGGTTTAGGTAGAACTTCAGAACAAGCTGCAGTAATTTTAACCTGCCTGAGTTGCAGTTATGGTGATAAATTTGTCATACCCACGTGCTTCAACAACTTTATATAAAGGAGATGGAAGTGCATTTTGTAACCTTCATGCCTCTTGTGGTTCCAGGTCACTCTAACATTAAAGCTTTCCTCAGTCATGGAGGCTTGAACAGCATTTTTGAAACCATGTACCACGGTGTCCCAGTGGTGGGCATTCCCCTCTTTGGAGACCATTACGACACCATGACCCGTGTGCAGGCCAAAGGGATGGGAATACTGCTCAACTGGAAGACCATGACTGAGAGTGAGCTCTATGAAGCCCTAGTAAAAGTTATAAATGATCCCAGGTATGGAACGAGCAATTGGTTGTGCGTGAGTAGATATGAAACCTTTGTGCAGTGGAAAAAAAATGTGGTTTATTATTTGTGTGTATAGTTGAGGCAAGTCTGGGTGTTTGTCCTATTTCCCAAGATTACCCAACAGCCGAGGTTTCTGTGTGGGTGCTGGGCTTGTTGCTCAGCACCAAAATTCAATTGTCTTGCTTGCGCTTTGTAGCAGTTGCCATGTGGAAGGCACAGAGGTTATGGGAACAGACCTGTCCCAACGTATTCCGTGTTGCAGACCAAGGTCCCTTTGTGCCTGTCTTGATTACTCCACACGAGCAGTCTGGCTGTGGTGCTGCCTGGAGCAAGATACATGTACATGGTTTGGGTTTTAGCTAGAATGGGGAGGTGTTCAGGAAGAGTGACTCTAAGTTCTGTGATTTTATTATTAAAAAAATTGTGTTTAAAGTGTTATTTTCCTGTCCTGGCCTCACTCATATCCAGATTAATATTAGTGAGGTGTTATCTGGAAGTATATTGTATTGGGCTAACCCTAATTTTGGAGTGTGGTGTTATTGATGCTTCCTTCTTTCATGGCAGCTGAGTCTTTCTGGGAAAGGAGATTGCTGTCAGGAGCAAGCAGGGCAGCAGCAGAGAGGGGGAATGTTGATAGTGATCTTGATAACATCTGTTGCATCACCTTCCCCTTGTGCAATTATCCTTGGTGTAAAGGCAAGTCCTGTATAAATAAGCTGCAGACAGGAGAGGAAGAAACTGGCAGGATCGGCTGCTGGGGTGAAAAACCAAGAGTTTTGGGCGAAACTCTGGACCTGGGTGGAAATGGTTTATTGCAAAATCAACGCCATGTTTTTCCACTGTTGGGCATTTCTCTGGTGATTCAGTTGCACAGTGACACGAGATGACAGCTTTTCCTTTCTTCCTTGTTTGCTTTCCTCCCCGCAGCTACCGGCAGCGGGCGCGGAGGCTGTCGGAGATCCACAAGGACCAGCCTGGACACCCCGTGAACCGGACTGTGTACTGGATCAATTACATCCTGCGCCACAACGGAGCCCAGCATCTACGTGCTGCTGTTTACAGCATCTCCCTGTTTCAGTATTTCTTACTGGATATTGCCTTGGTCCTACTAGTGGGTGCTGCCTTACTTTACTATGTTTTGGCCAGGATGGCAAAATTAATCTGCAAGCAGAGCAAGCATCTCTGGTCCAATGACAAACATAGCGCTGTTAATGGACACTACCAGAACGGGATCCCCAATGGCAAGTATAGAAGAAATGGCCACATTAAGCATGAAAAAAAGGTGAAATGAGCCAACAGCCCCTTGTAAAGTAGTAATGAATCAGATCAGTAATCGAATTTTATCGCTGTAACTTAGTCTAACAACTACTTAAAACCTCAATAAGCAGTTCTAACACTCCCCTTCAGTATGTAATATTATGTGACAAAATTCTATGGAACTAAGAGAAGTCTTAAAAAAAAAAAAAAAAAAAAAAAAAAAAAAAAAAAAAAAAAAAAAAAAAAAGGCAAGCACAACCTAAAATGAAAAATATTTTATTCTTAATACTGATATGCAGAGAGGTTATTTTGGCACTGAAGTTTTTAGAAGCCTTAATTCTCTAAAATTCTATACGATGACCGTATTTATGAATTTTCAGCTTTTAAAAGCTCGGTGTGTGTGTCCCAAATGAGGAGAGGTTTCTTTTTATTTGCAGAGGTGTTCTCCCTTTATTTTTTTATTATTTTAATATCTCCATCCTTTTAGCTGAGAGAACTCTCTAGTGCTAGTTCTGTTTCCTTTGTGGAAGGTTCAACCTGTTGTGTAAGAATGCTATTTAAAACACAAATTATTTCCCCCAGTCTTTATGCGAGAAATAGCAAGTTGTGGACTGAGAAAACAAACGTTTTAAAAAAAATAGGAGTAATCTTAATGAGCACTGAAGAAAAATGGCAAAAATATGAACTTGTTTTACTGATAAAGCTGCATGACTCTTCTGCTCGCTACAGTACTTTGGAGAAAAGGGTCCTGAGTAAGTCTACAGTGTGTCCTAACTTTAACTGAGACAAATTTTTTTGTCGCCTTTCTCTGCATACAGAATTTATGCCACAAAAATATTAGGGAGTCTTATTTCAGTTCCAAATACGGCTGTGTGGGAAATAGATTTGCATAATTAAGAAAAATAAGTGAAACAACAGCAACAACAATAAAAAAAAAGAACTTATAAAAATCTAGCTCTGTGCTTAGTGCAGAAGGTTTTGTGATGGCCCAGAGCTGTTCAAACTCAAACCACTCCTTGGGGTTTGTTTAAAGGGAACCACCCCCACACAGCACTCCCCCAGAGTTGAATGTCTTTCCTGTTAATTCTCATTAAGTTCTTTCTGAATCGCAATGTTGTAGATGTTCTCTTTCAATGGTTGTATCTGGAGAAACAGAAATATTACCTTCTATTAGTCTGGGCCACGCAATCCATGTTCCACGTAGTTGCCAATAGGAATTCCGCGCCGCGGGCGGTGTCCACCCATCCTGCCCGGGGCTGGTGGCATGTGTAGGGTGAGGCCTGGCCACCTGGCGTGCGGAGGTGGCCCTGTGTCCCCCTGCCTCCAAAACCTCCTTCAATCATTGTCGCCGACACGGGACGCTGGCGGCGGTGTGCGCTCCCAGGGCGGGAATGCCGGGCGTGGAATCGTTGCTGCCCTGCTCAACCAAAGTTGGCAACTATGAGTTTTATTTCCATGTCATTCTGTTTACTTGGAATTTGCACTACACATGTTGTGAGTGTATGCTTTATTTATTTGTAGTTCGAGGTCCTGTGGCTGAAAGAGAAAGGAGGGAAGCCCGTTTTGCCCTGTGTCGCTCACTAACATGGGAGGAGTTGGGATGATGACGGGATGCTGAGCTCATCTTCATACACAGTGATGCAAAATTTCATCACCATTCCATCAGGAGCCTCGGTCCTACAGCAATAAATAACAGTGCAGATATGTTTCTAATATGCAGGGCAGCTACTTGTGCTGCTCTCTGAATACTTGAACAAAAAAATGGTATTATAAATATAAGCCTCTTAGCTATACCTTTTTACAATCTCGCAGCCCGTGGTGACTACAGGAGCACACAGAGGCGATGAATGGTGGGATGGTGAGAAGACTTCGAGTGTATGAATGACTTGGTTTAAAATGTGGGGGTTTTTTGGCATTAAAGAAGGTACAAAAGCACTGACCGGATGATTAAGCATAATTTAATCTCCACTGTGATAAAACTTAAGCAATAAACATGGATTTAATAGAGAAATTCTGTTGTTGGAAGTATATTTTTATTCAGCTGAATGCTGGTTGTCTCCTAGTACCCATTATATGTGGTGTACTTAAATGTGGATGCTTACTGGGGTACACACACCTTTTCTTCTCAATGTTTACTGTGTTGCATGGTATGTATTTGAAATCCAAAATATCTTTTTTTTGGTGAGTGTAGGTCCATTTCCTATTGGGGCTTTGAATTGAAAGAGAAATGTTTCTTAAAAGCAATTCAAATTTTTTGAGGTTGGTGTACATACCTGGCACAGTGTTTTGTTGTTTCCCTGTATGTGGTAAGCTCTTCACTTGAAAAGCAGGGCTGACAGTGATGTTAGTTGGGATGATGGATTGATTTCTTGAGTAGTCTCTGTAGGTACAAACACGCAGCAATTCTTTTGCAAGAGGCAGTTGCTGCGTTCATGGTATTGCCAAATTCGTGATGAGGCGGATCCACCTCATGTCTAGAAATACCTGTTGTGTTTCAACTTCTAAGTTCAAGCACAAGCTGTTACTGTGGTTATTTCAATCCCCTCTTTACCACAGCAAGCAAATTGTTCCTGTGTTTCAGACACAGAATTGAGCAGTGATTGCTGTTGGTGCCGAGCCAGTGTTGAAATCAGTCAAATGGCTGAAGGAATGCTAAAGAAAGGGTTTAAAAATACTTGTGTGTCTCCAGACTGCATCACAGTATCAGGACTGAGGCTTTAGTCACCCCTCTGATCAATAGTAGTTATTAGGCATTGAACAGACAAAACACTTAGAAGAAACTGAATTCATCTTCCAAGACAGTGCTGTGCCACTGATTGGAAAATACCACAGTTGGGCCTTACTTATCCTAATCAAAATCACACCTTTTGAAAGTTATAAACCTGATTTATTTATGAGTGTGTGTGTGTTTTCTCAAACAGGCCAGCAAATGCTGAATCTCATTTCACTGTTAACTGAAAAAGCACTCTGTGTTGGGTAGTCTTGGTTTCTCTGTAATGAAACAAAATTTGGATAGAAAAGGCTCAGTTCCTCATACATTGAGGGGATGGAAGGTTGAACAGTATTTAGGGAAATCTTGGAAATTCATGTTCTGGAATTTTCTATTGGAGTAAGGGACAGAATCATCCAATTGTTTAGGTACATGAGTCTTATATTACTTAGGTATTAAGCAGTAGTTAAGGAAATAAACAGATCAGGAATGCCAAACCTTCCTTGGGTTATTACTGAGCCAATTCAGGATTTGCTCCTTAAAAGAACAGCATGGACTAAGATTGAAGGATACAAGTGTGTCAGGTGGGTTTTTGAGGCACAAACACCAGCCTTCCATAGGTTTAGGAGGAAGACAGAAGCACTGATTTAGCAGAATTGCACTGCATGGAGCATTAATTGTTAAATGTCAGTATAATTATATTTTAATGAAATAATGGCATCTCTGGGAGTAAGAACTGGTGGGGAATAGTTACTAAGGGAAGAAACAACCTAGACTTTGACTTTTGCAGGTGACTACCAAGATTTTTGTCATCCAAATACTCTTAATGCAGGGAATACCTACAGACACTTATTCCAGATTAAGACACTGAAATAATCTCAGTTTGTACATTTCTGTATTGATAGTAATGGACACAGAGTTACTTTGTGTGCATCTGTTCATCTTGTTTCCCTTGTGATTTTTTTGTCCGGGGAATCATATTTTACCAGAGCTTTATAGTATTATAGATGTTTTACTACATTCCTTCATACTTAAGATTTATTTAGGACAAGTTAACAGACAAAATTTTAATTTAGTGTCTATGAGTTTAATTTGTTAGGGGGAAAAATGCCTTGCTAGATATCATAAAATGGGGTGGTTGCTTTTAAAGAGTGTAGCTGAATACACATAGGCATAAATATGGACAGTGTTCTCTTTTATAGAAAATCTTGGGTTTTGGAAAACAACTGGGTGAAGCTGGGATTGGGAAATCCCAGAGAGCTGTAGGTGACCATGAGATATTTCTTTCCATGTCAGGAAGAATTCCTTGTCTCTCTCCTCCTGACACCGTGTTGCATAGGCTGGGCTTTGCAGTGTAATGATTAGCTTGGGAGAGATATAAGCAGCATTTTGTGTGTTTGTGTGTGTTGGTGCTACAAAAAAATGCAGAATTAGAGCAGGTGTTCAAAACTAGACGGGGCAAAGGTTAGGAGGATGCTTGGACTTAAGGGGCTGGTTGGAGATGAGCTGCAGTGGGCATAGAGATGTTCATCACCCTCTGGAATGTCTCTGTGTTGTCTGTGCTCCTCAAGTCTCACCTGGTAATTGTCCAAGCTCGCTGCAAAAAGATGCACTGAACTCCTGTGACAGCCTGATGGGAAGAAATTGTTCTCATTCTAAACACAAACAGCTTTTTGCTTCTTGAAATGAAGCAGCAGATATGTGATAATCTCAGATAGAGGCATTGAATAAATTCTCATTTTCTGCTCCTGTGAGATTTACAGCAAGGATAAGAGTTCTCAGCTCCAGGAGATGCCCACTGAGGGAAACTTAGAGACAGCAAGTATGTATGTTGAGAAAATAGAGTTCTCTAAGGAATTAACACATTTGTCTGTATTTGTAAGAGGTTCTCCTCTGTTGTGCCTTGCTTTTTTATGCTTTTATGATCTTCATCTGAATGTTTCTATATCTTCCCTTTTTGGTACATCAGCCTTTCTCAGCAGCATTTTTACTGTGTGTTAGTTTCTGAGCTTGCCAGGTGTTGATTTGCCACTTTCCCAAAGCCCCCTTGGCATTTCCCTGCCTTCCTGGTTCTGCTTTCCAGGATAACTCACCTGGGGACACCATAACTCTGCCAGAAGCTGTTCCAGTAGCTCCATCCCAGTTCTGCTGGTCTGGAAAGCTCCTGTGTATCCTGTATGTCCTCCCTGGGCTCTGTTGGCTCTTGGGTGGAGGCAGCCTCGCCCCAGGGAGCATTTCCAAGCCAAGATTTAAGTTTGGACATTGGATTTCACTGTAGATAAGACCTTTCAATGCTTCAGGCCTCACCCATGAGATTCTTGATGAAAGAAATGTTTATTTAGCTTTTCTTTTTCGTTGTTTTTGGCTCTGCAGCCTCTGGTCTGGGAAATGGTGCAGTGCTGGGTCTTTTGGTGGTGCCAAGAAAAGCATGACAAGGAGATGCATGAATTAAGATCTGTGCTACTTTTACTGGAAAAA